ACCACACACACACACACACAGATACTCTCTAAGGGAGGGCACTTGGTTTTTTTTGGCCCAAACACCCTGTTATTTCCAGCGTAACGCTGCCCTGCCAAAGTTTCGACCCAGAAATCCACACAGCAGCAGCAGCAGTCATGTCAGGCTGCGTTCACTGTAAGCAGGCCATAGTGGAAAAACAAAGCTCATTTCTTCCGCTCAAGACTAGATAAAAACCTTGACCTTGTGCAGACAAGCATCTCAAACGCACGTCTGGAGTCGAAACAGCTTAGTTAAAGCGCTCGTCTAGCCTGTTATCAGTGACCCCGACGATGACCTTTGACATCAAAGTCCTAGTAAATCCACAACACAGTCTAACGAGAGTGTCTTAAAGGAACAGGTCATCCATTAAGAGAAGACATCATTCACTCACACTCACGTTCTTCCAGTCCTGCATGGCTTTCGTTTTCCGTTTATAAGCATCTATATTGGCAATTCACACATAGAAGAAAGTCATGCGGATTTGGGCTGAGGAAATGATGACAGAATTTATTTTTGGGTGTACTGTCCCTTTAAGGGTGTGTGTTCAGTGATGCTGAGTGTTGAGTGTGTGTTAAGTGGGCTGTGCGATGGCCACTTAAATCACTGTACATTCCAGCACACGTCAGACAGGAGAACGGACTACAGTACAAACACTGTGAGTGGAGAAAACATTCAAAAGAGGGTGTCACTTCCTCCTGATAACAACCAAACAAAGACATGCGTCACAAACACGTCATTCCAAACCCATACGACTCCTGTAATGAGACATACACATATACATGTAGCTCTATTGTATATAATAGGAAAACAGGAACAGTAAAAAAAAAAAACATATAAATACACAATAGTATACATTATATATTATAAATAGCTAATTATAATATATATAGTACATATTATATATGATCACATATATAACTCTATAATTATATTATATATCTAAAGAGGGTGTCAGTTCCTCCTGATGAATAAATAAATATAATATTTTTTATATATAGCTGTATATAATAGGAACATTGAAAATGTAATAGAAATGTAAAAAAAATACTTAATATTACCTAACATACATTGAAAAATAGCTATACATAAATGATTATGATTTATTATTACAATAAATAAATGTAGTAAATATAACAAATGTTTAATAAACATAACAAATTCTGTATGTTATAGGAAAATAGGAATTGTAATATAAATAAAAATACATACATACATTATATATATATATATATATATATATAAATACACAATACACAAATAGATATAATATATAGCAAATTATAAAAATAGGAATAATAATATAAACAAATAATAATAGAATAATATAAATAAAAAAATTTTTTTTTACATATATATAATTAGATTTTTATATTGACTTGAAAGGACTTGGGCCCGTCACACACACGCTGTGACATCTCTTCAACAAAAGAGGCCGACGTGTTGATTCCTCTCAGCTTGAGTCTGTCGTGATAAAGCTCTCTTTGCTGTCACTGATCTACAAAACACAAATCACTTCCCTCTGCCGCGGCCTCCAGCGCTCCATCCCTGTCCGCAAACACAGACGACGTCTTAATTAGAGGTGGGGACAGCCGGACAAAAGCTCCCAGCAGTCCCACAGACCGTAAAGCATGCAGATCAAAGCCCCTTCAAACGCCTGCCGTCCTCCTCCCCTCTCGCAGGAAATGCATGTGAACAATATGAAAACATCCATGCATGTGTGCGCGTGTGTGTCAGATCCCAACATGATTTGGAAAGAAAACACATGCCCTCAAAACATGAAACACATACTGTTTAATCACGAAACTGCCTCCTCGCATTATAGCAGCACATAGACGCATGCAGGATAACACACGCCTCGCAACATGCCTCGCACATGTTCATATTCCATTCTACACATAAAAAAGATTTCACGCGATTACTGAGCAACACAACTATTGGCAAGTGTCACGATTTCTAGTGTTCATAGTTGTTGATGTGACCAAACCTCAAAACTCATCCTGCAGCGTTTGAGTTAAAATCAGGTTCTTTTCCAAGGTTTCCAAACCTTATTTACCACTGAATCACCATAACTTTTCAATGACCTTTCTAGTTGTTTACAGCATAAAGTTGCTCAAATTAGCATTCTTGTAGCTGAAAGAGTAAAGAAGCTAGAAACGCCAATGCATGGGTTCGATTCCCTATAAATGATTCACTATAAGTTGCTTTGGATAAAAGCGTCTGCCAAATGCATAGATGTAAATGTAAATTCAAAAAGATTCATTAATGAATCATTCAGAACATTTTGCGAAGCAGTTCTTAGAAAAGAACTGACTCACACAAACAATTCACCCACAAATCACATATAACTATGGGTTTCCAACAAGTTTTATTCTAAATGACAGCTATATTTAGCCTATGAAATATTTTACAGCAAATATGTATATTCATTATAAACAGTAACTTTTGTTGCATGGAACTTTTGTTTTCATTTTTTTTTTTTTGTGACCCAAAACCATTTATCTCTGCCCACAGTAAAATCTCATGGGTCCACAATGCTGCGTATTAAACCTGAAGTATGTTGTGATTGGCTGTGATTTTCTTGCTTAGTATTTTGCTCTCAATGAGGACTGAAAAATGTTGTGTTGGACTGAAAACTGTTAGAGACATCAGTCTGTTTCAGACCTGGGTTATTATAGTTAAGTAATTCTTAAAGGGATAGTTCACCCAAAAATGAAAATGTGATGTTTATCTGCTTACCCCCAGGGCATCCAAGATGTAGGTGACTTTGTTTCTTCAGTAGAACACAAATTATGATTTTTAAGTCCAGCCGTTGCAGTCTATCAGTCGTATAATGCATGGCAATGGTAACAAAATCTATGAGAGTAAAAAAAACATGCACAGACAAATCCAAATTAAACCCTGCGGCTCGTGACGACACATTGATGTCCTAAGACACGAAACGATCGGTTTGTGCCAGAAACCGAACAGTATTTATATCATTTTTTACCTCTAATACAACACTATGTCCAACTGCCTTGAGCGCGCGCACGGCATCCGGTGCGTGAGGTGTGTACGCGCTCTGGTGTAGTTTACGCAAGCGCCGGAAGTGATCTCTCGCGCGTATACTCACTCATTGGTTACACGGCTAATCAAAATGGTACTTACTTGCGCTTATCCGGATTGTTCAAAAACATCAAATTAAATAAAATAAAATTTTATATAAAAAAGAAATAAAATTAAATTAAATTAAAAACTAAAACTAAAATTTAAACCATTAAGAAAATTAGTTGAAATTAAATAAAATACAACAAAACTTATTTCAGTTGCCAAGGCAAAATTTCTAATTTTAATTTAGTTTAACTTGATGTATTAAATAACTAATACTAAAATTCAAATAAAAATTCATAAAAACTACACAGACATTACATTTTTTTTTTACTAAAATGACAAACACACAAAATTACTACAACTAAAATAAAAACAGAAAATATTAAAATAAAAACGAATTAAAAATATTAATAAAACTATAATAGTATCTCAATGACGCTAAAATAACACACCAAAACTGAAATAAAAATAATAAAAACCACACAGACATAAAAAAAAAACGAATAAAAATGACAAAAACAACCAAAATCACTAAAACTTTAAATAAAATTAAAACGAAAACAGAAAATAAAACATAAAAATATGAATAAAACAGACTCATTAAAGTTTTAATCTCACAATGCACACACTGCAAGTTAACTAAAGTAGTTTAAATTCAGTCAAGCAACTTGTTTGAAAGTAAACTATAAGCTACTGACTTAAAACAGCAAACTACATTGATTCAGCATAAAGGAACAGTTTGCTCTCGACACTGGAAGCTTGTTGTGGTGTGTTTTACATTATGCATGGATGCATATTAAATCATATTTCACTGACTGGTGGTGTTCGGCACATTGATGATTAACATTATGGCGAGTTAAAGAATGACGGCTCGAGCTGTTTGGCTGCGTTTCCTGAGAACAAACTGCTGACTGAGCCTGAGACTGTGTGCCAGAAGCCAAACGCTGCTGTGTGCCAGAGCTTTGTCTCTCTTTCTTTTTTCCTCCTTCCTTTTCTTTCTCTCCCCATAACCCCGAGTGCATCTCTCGTCCTGTCTCGCTCTGTCTTTCTCTCGCACAGCTCACTTCAGCTCGGGCTGGATTCACGCGAGGTCATGTTGGACTGAAAGCGGCTGGAGACGGCTGATCTGATTCCACAGCCAGAAAGGAAAAACTTCAGCAAAAAAACTTTACAAGCATGCAACAAGCTGCTTGTTATTTAAAGTGTTTAAACTACAGTCAAGCTAGTCTTTTGATAGTATTTAACTACACGACAAGTTACAAACAA